GAGACGATTTGATCGTCCTCTTGGTCTAGAAAGAAGAGCGGAAGCTTATATATATCGTCTCAGAGTGGATGGCACCATGTCATCGGAACCACAACTTGAGCATACCCAAGCAGAGTGGGACCTTTAGAGGTGCAGTTCCTGCTAGAAATGAAGAACCTACTTGAACAGATGATAAGTTCATAAAAGTTGCAGCTGGTGCAACTCTGCCTAAGTATCCAAAACAAGCCGGCAACTCATTCAAAGCCGGATATTTGTTTGCAAAGATCACCCTGAAGGGTTAGAAGGCCCTGCAAACAAAAAAGACAAGTGCCCATCCTGACACCACCAAATCCTCGGAAGATCAAGACAAAACCCGTCATCTATTTTGTTTCCACAATGACATGTGCGGCAGCCAGGCTAGAAAAAGGATGGACCAAAATTTATTGGGACATGTGACCAAGAGTGTATCCAATACAACATATGACCAACATATTTCAACCTTCCTTTGCCCCGTTCGAGTCAGAGTAGATTCCGAGCTCCGGCGCTGCTGAGAATCCTGCGGATCGGACGGGTCTTTGCCATCTTCCCGGCGCTCTCGCTCCTCATCAAGGGGCTGATCCGGACAGCTGGAAGTAGCCTCCGGGCATTTTTGGGTGGGCGGTGAACTTCTGAACAATCAGTTTGGTGGGTGTTTTAATGTGACATAGTGTTTAAACATTTAAACACACCATGTTCACAAACCTATATGGAAAAAGTCATCGCAACATTTGTGTTTTTATTTTTCCGGGGTACGGGTGTTTAGTTTCACTCCGCCCCCATGCAGGAAAGGGCTAATACTAATGTTCTTTTCGACGGTTTGGTCGTTTCGACGGCACCGTAGCACTCTTCCAGGACCCAAGTGGCCATCGTGGACAGTGCCGTGTTGATTTGCATGATGTGACCTGGCAATTCGAAGGTCATAGATCCATGGCGATCGGCATTTGATCATGATAGATCCGTCAGATCGTGATGGATTCACATGTGATGGTGTTTTAGTTTTGTTTTTAGTTTCTCCGCGAGAGGAAGTCAGAGACTGTTTCCGTGGAGTGTGTGGTTGCTGAAAAGATGTGGCCCGGAACGAGAGGGGACCCTTCCAGATTGGAGGGTCTTGCACTCGGACCTGGGTCGGGATGGTCCGGGGAAGAGACATCAAGGAACCATAAACCCGAATCTTCCAACTTCCAACGACCATAGAACCAAAACAACCAGAATTGTTGGTAGTTGGAAGGTGCTGAATATTCCAGGAATATAAAACATGCATGATCATTGATTCTGTTGTTCCAAGGGGTGGGTTGTCAATGGTCCCGATGGTAGTGGCAATCCCATTTGAGGTGTACTGCGAAGGAAGAGCTTTCCGTCAAACCTTCAAGTATATAACATGTTGTGTTTGAGAGTGGGCGGTTGAGCTAGCTGATTGGGGCTCGAATATGTTCGGTATATAGATTCGATCTCAGGTCGGTGTCATGAAGTCTGCAAACTAGTAACAAAGGGCATCGGCATCGCTACTAGGAGCAAAGACGCTACGAGTAGCTGCTGGCCTTACTACTAGGAACAAGACGCTATTAGTATCAAAGATCCGCGACTCTTCTCGTCGCGAACACGCAGAACTACGAGGTCCCTGATGGGTGCCTTGCTGTGCGCAGAAGAGTTGGGCCATTCAGAGGAGGGCAAGGACGAGGGGCCATCGAAAAGGGGATGGGAAGATTTGCGAAATTGCCTCAGCAATCCATATGTTTAAGTAGGTATGATTTAAGTATGTTAAACAATTAATGTAAAGAACACGTGGTGTTCGGTCCACTCATCCTTTTTGGGAGGAGTTCCTGAAAGATCAAAAGGGCCAATATCGCTTGAGTTATTATGAACATGTTACTCTTACACCCTAAGTGGTTCAACTTGAAATGTGTTTTCAACACGTGCTGACATGGCGTGCAAATCTTACCAGCTATTATAGCTGGGGGAAGAAGGCAAATCGGCAAACATTTCCTGGCACATTATTTTCGGGCATATGAACATTCATGGAGGGCTAAAGTTAGCGTAGTGAAGTAATACATATGGGGATATCCAAGTGTATTTGTCTTTACCATGTGTCTTTCAAAGGTCCCAATATTTCAATAATGGTTCTGGCAGTTTCAGGAGTCAAGTGTTACTAGCAAGCAATAATGATTCTTCTAGAGTTGTGTTGCACAGATTCTCAGTCACAGCTATCTCCGTGTGATAGTGTCCGACATGCAACTCTTGCACCAACAATGGAATTACAAGTGTTCCATACCATCGTGCTGTTGGAATCATATATATAATTATATATATATATGCATGAATATCCAGGACCGATTCCCGGTTCAAAACCGTACCAAGATGCTCCAACTTTGCGCTCTCTCTCTCTCTCTCGTTCAATTTCCGCCGATGTCTTTGGACGCAAAGGTGTAACATGAACGCCCTTCTCACCCACCACTCTGCAAAGCAGCAGGTCCCCCCTGTCAATACCTTTTGGGTTTGCCCACTTTCCGCCCCTTTTCCCCCAAAAGCGAAGCTTCTTATACTTGGTTTTCTCGATGTTTCCTCCGATGCATCGGATTTCTCTCCGTTTCAGGAGCTCTTTGGCTCAGTGCTACAGAGCTTCTTCGTGCATTTGCAGCTGGTCCTCATCGAAGCCTGGCCCGACATCGCTGTCCCTTGACCGAACGGCCCAGGCGAACGCAGCGGGCGTTCCAACGCCGCGGGCGTTCCAACGGCGCCCACGGCGGAACGATTGAACGGAACCAGCTCGGAGGGTTCTGAGACGTGAAGACGTGTATATATATATATATACTATGGTACCCCCACCCCCGAAGACCTACCATGTTTGTTGGTATCAAGATCATTCAAGATCAGGGTAAAGACATGATTCGTTAGTCAGTTTTTTTCATGAAATTCTTTGGCAAAAGACGATGTGTTGAGGGGTACCATATATTTTACTAAACATGTCTAAAACATACAAATCAATACACTAGACAAATTGAAGACACAGGCACACAAATCAATATATTGCAAGGCCTTGCAAGGTCCGGATTGAAGATTGAAGATTCTGAAAAGCCTATTCAATCCAGCAATGGATTGAAAATTGAAGATGCTGAAAAAAAACTTGTTCAATCCAGCCCTGGAATTCCTCAATCTTCAATCCAGTTCCCTGGATTGAAAAAGTTTTCCCAGTTACTGGTAGTCAGAAGATGAGGTGGATGCTCACTGGATTGCCCACGAGATTGGTGTGGCTGCCCTTCTCTTTATGGTGTGCCCCCTCACACCATTGCCTGACCTGAGAGCCTTCAAATGCCTTTGGTGCATGCACATGAACCCATGCGAGAAAGGAGTGGCATCAAATCAAAGTGGTTCATCTTGAATGTTCATTGTACGCCTATGTCCTCGGCAAGCTGTTGAAGCAGATCAGTTCGGGAGTCCATGTCGCTTCTTCTATCCCTCTTCGTCTCGGAAGAAAGGGAAGGGTCGCATGGTCCAGAGACCTGCTTCAACACTGTCGCGCCAACCTGCATAATACGTTTCTGTTTCTTTCCACTGTCATCTGAACTTATGGTCATCTGGTGTAACTTGTGTATGTTGCTTTCTTATGGTCGTTTGGTGTGTTGGTCAAACACCTGCAGCATAAACGGTGTGTATTTGGGGGGGGGGTAGCATTTACGTGTTTATATGTGCGGGTGTTTAAGAAGAAAAACTGACTCCGATTGACTCCGCGGTTTGGTTTCTGTTGTTCCTCTGGAGACTTCGACAGGCAGTGCAGTTCAACTGGATTAGGGAGTCCCGTCCAATCCACGCCAGTATGTTGCGTCGGCCGCTTGGCTTAGGAGGTGATGATGCGAAGCTCTAAGTTTTGGGCAGTCTATGTGGCAGCTTGATTTGGACACACTTGCTGACAAGGAGGGCCCATGAACCTATTTTCATGCAACCTGCACAAGACAACAAAGAGGAAAATCAATTGGAATCGGCAGTTTTGGAAGGACACGCGTTCAGGAATGTTCAGGTTCGGTCTTGGTTCCATGACTAGATGGCTGAAATTTGGAGCTCCTGGCAGCCACAACAAGACCATCCGTCAGGTTCGGTTCGTTGCGTGACTATTGATAAGCATCCACAAAACACAATTATTAAATCTTTTGTTTAGGTACTCATGTGACGTTGCTGCATGTTCTTGCCCCTTGGTCCCTTGGTTGTTATCCCACCAGCAAGAAGAGCATCTTTGTTCAACAAACTGCACTTTCAAGTTCTTGAGTTGCTAGCCAGTCGTTCATACACAACTTGTTTCAGCAGAATTTGAGCCCTAGGTGCGCTCAGAATCTGATTTGGTTTACTCTTCATGGAAATCCTGCCCAAACGCCGCTAAATCTTGTTAATGTGTTTTCCCTTCGGCCGTGGTACCAGCCCTGAGCATCGAACATTGATTGTAGTCAATAAACTTCAGAGGTTTTTGAATTGTTCTTTTTTTCCAGATTGATTTGAATTGATGTTTTCAAAAAGTATCAGATTGATGTTTAGTTTGTATAATGATTTATATAGTGATTTTGGAGATCCCCAAAACATTGTTTTTATATTGATTACAATCTATTGACAATCAATCTTCGATGCTGGAGTGTCTTTCTTTGGACATCGGACATGGGTCCATCAGGACACCCATCCGGAGAAGTCATCCGAGGTCCTCTTTTTGATGGTGAGCAGCTTTGCCGTGCTGAACGTCGTGACCTGGCTGTAACAAGGTGGCGTTGGGGAAAGAGCTTTGAGGGTCATGTTGAAAGATCTAGTCAGTGATGTTTGTTGGTTGTGTTTTGTTTTTTTGGAGCAGTTGCGGTATCGGCACAAAGGAAAGATTAAGAGTTTCTTCACGATCCGAGCAACAGCTTCCACGTGCTCCACAGTAGCATGAGGGTTGCAGTTGTCAACCGCTCCTGTAAGCCTCCAAGTGCACAGGAAAGGAAAGGCATCGCACACCATCTCCAGATCATCAAGTGCCTGCGGGTTCAGAAGAAAAGTCAGGCTCACAGCCGCCAAAACGGTCACTGTCTCAACTAAACCCTCTTCCTTCCACGAGTCTGTCGCTTCAGCACATCTTGCTAAGTAAAGAGACACACATGCGCGCTAGACGATACGAATGCAAGCATAGTGCCCCCTCGCCTGCAAATTAACACCACCCCCTGAGATACACATCGACACCCCCCTTCAAAAAAACACATGTACGCACCAGACAACACGCGCGGAAGCATTTTGCCCACACCCGGGAAACCACCCCTGCGATATACAGGTGTGCACTTAAAGACAACACGCATGCAAGCATTTTGCCGACCCCCAAACCCCCCTTGAGATATGCATGCAGATGCGCGACGAACCCTCGGAAAAGTTGGTTCTGAATTCCAAGCTCCACTGTGTTCTAATTATGTAAAACCGGCAAAACATTGCTCAAAAGACACTTTTTTTTTCATGGTTTATCATGTTTTTGGAAAGTAACATTGAAAATCACGTAAACATATAAAAGTCTATAAACGTAGACATGATGCACTTCGAACTTCGTGCCACTGTCTTAAGTAAGGCTGTGTGGATATATGCATATTCATTGGTCTATATGGAAGGATACGTGCGATTATACCCTGACTCGCCTTCTGTCTTCATTTTCCGTTTGACTAGGTCACTGCGATTGTGTGCGATGGCGTCTTGGACTTGGCACAGGGCCAACCTCCCAAGTCCTTGGACCAAGTTCACGCGCAGCACCGAGCCTTCCGTGACCAGGCCCGGCGACTCGAGTCATCCTGAGTCGGCGGTGTGGTGGTGTCATGGTTCGGGGGGTCATGGTCGTATGCATCCATATATATATATAGATAGAGAGAATGGTTTGTTCCCTCCACCCTGGGTGGGTCGACCACCCAAAACTATGAGATATGTAAGTATACATACTGTATCTATGATTGATATGTTGCAAAAAATAGTGTTTTCTTGCGGTCTTGTGGTGGTGGTGGAAAAAGACAGGAGGGTGTACTTTTGACAGGTTGGAAAGCAACCTTCAGTGACAACAAGCTGGATTGTGACCATCTACAAGCAGTGAAGGTGATTTTAGTCAATTGTTGGGAGCTCATTCAATCCAAGTACTGGGGAATCATGGGGGGTTCAGTTACAGTTCCCTTGAAAAGATCGAACGTGGTCAAAATTGATGCAGAGCCGTGGGCAGGAGGTTTTGGACGTCTAATGTGTACAGAGTAAATGTATATACATATATACATAATTAAAGAGAGCGGGGGGGTCATGGGGCCTGGGTTTTTGGTTTTCCCAAATTTTTAGGTAAATGCTTCAGTGGCAGCCCCTCTCCATATAAACACACATATAATCTATTCCTGCTCTCTCTATATGAACAAATATATAATGTACTCCTGAAGCAGGGTCATTTTACATATTGTTTTGGAAGCAGCAATCAGTCGTTCAGATGGTTTTGAACAAGATAATTAGAAAAGAAGCAGGCCATAAAAGTGTTTATGTTAACAATTGTCCTCTAGATCTCTGCTTATAATTATGTTTAGATTTGGAAAGATTGTATATTATATAATATAGACGCGTTTATGTCATAAAAGATGCTCTATAGATCTCTGCAGATAATCATTCTTAGATTTAAACAACTATGTAGAAACCTTGTATGTTAAAAGCTTTCTTCTAGATTTCTGCGGGTAAGAGCTTGCATTTTCAAAGCTTTCCTCTGGATCTCTGGGAAAGTAGATATCCCATATATGTATGCTTTCATTAAAGGAAAGCTCTTGAAAGAAAAAACTTATTTATGGATATATAGCATGTTTAAATTGACATGACTCGACCATTTCCAGAGATCCAGAGGAAAGCTTTTGAAATGATAGCTTTTATATTTGTTTATTGTAGGTAGAAATGATCATCCCCAGAGATCTAGAGGGAAGCTCTTGAATTAGAAGCTTGTACATAAACCATTTTTAATATGTCTATGTTATCTCCAGTGATTACTGTAAATAGATATATCTAAGCTGATTGGTGTCAGAATAAGATGTAAAACGCTTGAGCTACAAGATGCACAAGTTGAGGAGGCTTCGAAATTACAAAGCTGAAGCAAATGCAACAAGCATTGAATTAGAACTACAGCTTACACAGATTCATAACAGTTTCATGTAAATTGGAAGGTGTCATTACAGTTTCATGTCAAGCTGATTGGACATGCAATTGGCAACCACATTGATACCAATCAGAAGTTAATGGACAGACTTGTACATGGAGATTTCGACAAGGACAAAGGGAGTGTTGGGCTCAGACGCTTTCATTGTAAGAGCAAAGAACATATGCCTTTAGGTGAGACTTAGGCTCACATGCTTGAAGGTTGAACGAAATAGTAATAACACAGATTGACCTAAACAGGAAAACAAAAAAAACATTGAGAAAACCAATAACAACCTAGGAAAAGAAAACAAAAAACACAAAAAACAACTTGGGAAAACCAAAACCAAAAAAAACTGGGGAAGTCTTGAGGAAAGGGGTGTCCAGCCAAGAGTCTCTGAGATTTGTGTTTTTGATTTCCCAAGTTGTTTTTTTTGTTTTTTTCCTAGGTTGTTTTTGGTTTTCCCAAGGCTTTCTTGTTTATTTTTGTGTGTTTCTAAGTCTTTGTTGTTTTAACTGCAAATTATTCAACGTTTTTTTTAGTTTTGATTCTATTTGTTGTTTGTGGTTTTGATTGTATTTGTGAAAAGTTGTCTACAAATACAGAAAACCAAAAACCCAGGCCCCATGGCCACCCCTTCTGTAATTAAAGGTAATTCTACCTCACACACATATTATATATATATAGAAATATGAAGTGGACTTTACCCAAAAGACTTCTCTATATCTGTCGTGGGAAATTGGGGTTGGAAAATTGCCCCAGAGTTGGAGAATCCCTGGAGCAAATACAGTGTGAAGTGTCTACAGGTGGTGTTCCTGAGAACACTTCCATCCATGTTCAGTGTTCCAAGATGACGATGTAGCATTTGACTCGATGAAACAAATTGCTTTCTAGCTTTATCATATCAGTACAATTGGACCTGCAGAAATGCATGTTAAAGTACGGTGGTTTTTTTTTCCAAGACGGTGTCGTTTGTTGTGACAAGGTGGACATCAGCAAATTGTGTGATGAAAAATTGGTTTGTTCGCATCCAAACGGTGTCTTTCCCCATCCATGGAGTTTGAGCACTTGTGTGCATCCTTTCTGCCGATACTCCTTACTGTTGGTTAGGTTCTTTTGCTTCCAAGAAATTCCTTTAAACGTTTATGCCATTGGAAGACTATCCAGAACCTGAGAAGAAGTGTGGATTAGTGCTAATTCCTTTTGGAACATCTACCTATAGCCCGCCAAGGCCTCGGACCTCTATAGCACTGCTAAGAAGGGAAGGAAAGGCGAGCTGGAGTCCAAAAACTGTGGCAGTTTGCTGCAAACCCTCGAGCCTTGGCGGGACAGGGCGCCCAAAAGAGGGAGAGCGAGCTGCAGCGCAGATCTGTGTCATTCCTCCCTTTTTTGATCTCTTGTTGCAACTGGATCCTCATGAACAACAGGTCTTGTTTGAACCATAGCCAAGAATGAAGACCCTTTAGCAGACGCAGTTCGTTAATTTCGATCACCATTTTTTTCCAGCCCTGCTTCAGCTCTAAGCTCCAGCCCTCATGCCCAAGCACTGAAGGAGCTTTTGGAAAGGGTAATGTTGACTGTTGAGTTGATCGATAATCTAGGTACGTGTACAAGCGGTTATTAGTGAGCAGTCAACATCACTAGATCAACATTTCCTAGCAATTTGCACCTGCTTATCCCACCAGTCCACAGGCGGGCCCCACAACCGCCGCTCCCTTAAAGTGGATTGGTTGCCACTAACTTTGTAATTTTCACATCCCAGGATGGCAAAGCTCTCTTGAAGAAGATGCACATTGCCTTGCCATCCGAAAGACAGATGAGAGGCCTGGTGGACCCCGATGCATCTGGCACCGTTTCGTTGGAGGAGCTACAAGAGGGGCTCATGCGATTGCGCGAGAGCCACACAGACTTGATGAGTTTGGGGACTCAGCGCCCTGGCAGTTTGATGAAACCAATGGCCCAAGCGATAGAATCGACGGTCGGGAGGGACCTACCAGCTCACCTATGCGTTTTCCCCCAAGGACTGATGTGGAATTTTTGGTAGCGTTTGCAGATGAATACCCCCCAAAAAATGTTTGTTCTGCAGTGAAGAGCAGTGGTTTGATCTGTGTCCTCAATATAACTTAATATTCTCATGGTCATGTCCTGGACTTCTCAGTGAGTCGAGTGGCCGAATGGACCGGATCCGACTATGGTTATGGCCGATCGTGGGCCAGTGGCTTCTCAACAGCAAACTAATTGTGTTGACTTGTTGTCAACACTTGTCAGTGAACTACTATAGGTTGATCTTCATGTTCATGGGGCAAAGTGCATGTAAGCTTGCACCCAGAGCGGGAACTCGTTCACTCTCCAAGGTGTGTGCTACATCGACGCATTCGATCCAATTTGGCTGCGCTTTACCAAGCGGAACAAACCATTGAGCAAAAGCTGCGAACCCAAAGTGATGTCACGACTGCGCGACTCCGCACGGTGATGGATCAGCTCGAAGTTGCTTGGACCGTTTCTGGGCTTTTCGTGCGACGGCGGATTTTTACGATTTGTTGCGCCGCGACGGGGCGGATTTTTGGCATCCCTGTCAGAGGTCCGGATGAAACGAGGGTTCAGTCGGATTCTGAGAGTAGTGATCAAGCGAAAGTCCTGAACGTCATTGGCTTGTAGAATGCGAAACGAAGAAAGCGCATGGAATTCCCCAATTCTTTACCACGAGTTCCAAGCAGGACCCCAATAGATTGGGAGCTGCGGCTACGTTGGAAGGAGGGAACCCTGGAAAGAATCCCCAGCAACGCCTAAAGACCTAGGGGAAGTTCCCGAAGACTAAAAACCAGACCATAACAAAATTGTCTAAGACATTGTTCACCCGGTTCTCTAGCCACTTTTTTCGGGTAGGACATACCTAATTCCCTGGGACTGAGGTACCCGGTTTTCACTGTTCAGTGTCCACATGTCTGAAAATCCCCACTCCACTTGTTGAATGACCACCCAGTGCTGCTGTTCGCCACCGGAATCCGCACAGACAGATCTGGCATTCCCAGGAGCTGGTCAGCATGCCGTCCAGACAAGGCGCTGCAGAAGAAGAGGAGTTGTACAAGGCGACTTGGCCCAGCGCGCTCGTCCCTTTGAGACAGTTGGACATGTTGGACTCACCAAGCTACTCCAGGGGGGCAAAGCAATGTGAATCTTGGACCATAGGTTCCTTGAGTAGCGAGTTCGACTCCAGTTCCTGGAATTATTGCACTCTCCTGATCCATTTGTTTACTTGGGGATTGGAGGAACATGTTGATATATGTTATGATATGTTGATCCTCAATCTCAAACAAGAACCTTGGAATCCCATGAGAGAACTTATTTTGGAAGGACGCTTCCAGTGCATCATGCCTGGTAGTTCGGAACTGACTGATGTTGATCTTGGTAAGTTTACATGAGTTTTTGGCAGGCGGACTTGAAGCAGGACCACCCGTGTTCTTTTGCATAGTCTTCATGGTTCACTTCTTCATGTTCATGATCAGCCAGCTTCATGCGGTTTCCTTCAGCGGTTTCTCCGCGGAGATCGATCAGACCCGAGGCTTTGCAGGGCATGCGGCGCCTCGAAGAGGTCCTCGGGTGCTTGGAGCTTCGGAGCGGTCCGATCGGGGGGGCACACGGCGGGGAACGGTGAGAGGGCAGCGGCCCGTTTGGTTCAATTGGGAGGTAGAAGTAGCGCATGAAGTAGCGCATGGGATGTTTGAATCCAATCGCTTTGGGAGGTAGATACTGTACCTCTTGGGGTGGATGGGACTCCAAGTAGATACCGCCCCGAGAGGTTTGGTGGAATGGTTTGTGAAGCAGGTGAGACGTCAAGCTACCATATCTACGAGGCCCACGGCACCAGTGAAGCAAATGTGGAACGGTCATCAAAGGCGAGGTAGTACCTGGATGTACATGGTAAAGCCCTGTAAGACCCTTCCAAGCGTTCTTGGATCCGTGAGGATCCACATTCCATCGGGTATACTTCCATCGGGTATGGTGTGGTGGTTCACTGTCCATCGATGATTTTGTCGTGTTAACGCCTTTGCCTCTTTTCGGAGAATGCGAACTGAATGAAGAAACTGCGTATCGATATACTGGGGACTGAAAAGCTCATGGATTTGGAAGAAAGACGGTGGAGCCCGGACATGTTTAGCCTCGACATTGACCTGAGACTCTTCTCATTCAATTGACTAGGGTATACAAGCACCAACCAATACAACATGCTGTTCATATTGGGTACTGTTACTGCAGAGAAGTATCTATCTACGGTTCCGAAGGACTGATGGAATTCGTTATGCAGCCGGAGTGGCTGCGTGAATTGAGGTGCATATTCATATATCAAGCCTCAACGACGGGAGACCACAATGGAATGTCGCATTCAACCCTCCAGATCAGGGGAACCTCCATCCGTGGCAGCCAGGAAGTGATTTTTTCCGAACGGACCGTGTTTTTTCCTCCTAGCTAAGCTAAGCACGCCGGGTTTACCAAAAACTTTGAAGCAGGCGGTACTCCATGGAACTTCCATGGGACTGACACTCCACTGCTTTCAGAGTAGATGACACAAATGTCCAAGTTGGGTCTACGAGTCTAAGACATTTTGGGTGCCAGTGCTATCTACTCTGAAACCACGGTATTTCCCGAACAGTTGTGGTGCTTTCAGAGGTCAATGTAGGTGAAGAGTAAATATCCCATGGAGCAAGCGTCTGGGTCGGAAATTACGCGAAAAGGCGTGTAGAGGACCCCGTTTCTTTAAATCCAGGTTGAGAAAAAAACTGTGATTTGTTTGGATGAGAGTGTAACGCTGATACTGACATTATTCCTGTGTTGGATCTTCCAACGTCTTCCAACCATTTGATATGAACAAAAGAATGGCTTCAGGCTAGGGCTCCCAAGTTGCTGTCAATTGACGTGTCGTGTGTTCGAAGATCTTGATTTCTAATTGGTTCATAGATTTTGTTGGCTTTGATTCATAAAGAATGCGAAGGCACCTCACTCGGTTCCATTCCCAGCATGCTTTTCCACCTAGGAACAAACCATGCTGAATACCATCAACGTGAGCTACACAGAGAAGCAGAGCTTCCAGAGCACGGCCGTGCAGACGCTGCATACGGCGCCACCAACGATGACCGTGCCTGTGACGCCACCCACCCGGCTCCCACCGATGCCGAAGCGAGTGACGGAGCGCCGGTGGGGTCGCGCGCAGACACAAGAAGTGCTCCAAAAAGATTGGTCGACGCATTTGCTCTGAGACGAGATCTGTCGACGCATTTGCTTCATGTTGGGCTTGTGTTGTGTGTTTTGCCGAAGAGGGGTGGTCGTGGTGATGGCAAAAGACACTGCTTGAATTAAACATGATTTTGAGTCATAGAAAGCATCTCTGTTAACTGCTTTTCTGTGTTGACCTTGGGAGCATCGTGATTGAATTGCGGCAAGGTGTTTCAAACCGGAGATGAGCTCGTAAATGAAACAGCCATTACAATTAAGTCTGAGATAACTAAATGACTTTTTAAAGGTATCAATTTTGGAAGCAATTGTTTCATGATCCATTTTGTAGAGTAGGTCATCTAGTGACTAGCCGATGACAGTCTAGGGTTATTATGTCCTTGTGGCCTACACACTCTCCGAACAAAACCCACCAACCTTCAGCAGGACCCTTCAGCGGGGATCTGCATGGACCTCGTCCCCATGTTGCACTCTGGGTAGGCCTTCAGATGAATGCCGTACATGGTCAGGAGGGATGGACACTTGATTCAAGAAATCCAGCACCACTAAAAAACCCGCAACAAGAAAGGAGCATGTCTTGAACAAGGTGTTCCTCTCCAGGTTTTTTCTAGCTTTTCCTAGCTTTTTCCAGGTGTCCTCCAACAGTCCTAGCCACCTCGCCACCGGGCCGGTGGGTTGATGCTCGCCCCCTCGCCGAGGATTGGCTGGGATATTTCCGCGCCAACTCGCTCGTGAACACAGGCCGGGATATGGATCGCGGGGGCCTTCATCGAGCGAGGTCGATTGGATCGGAATCCGAAGTGGTGTTTCATGAGGTCGAATAGGGAGAGTCCCTGGTCTGGAAACATAGACGCTGCATGAAAAAAATACACACCCGTAGTAGATCGTTCTGGGCGTTTTGGAAGAACCGGAGAACGTGCTTTGGTCGTCGATGTTCGGTTGATCAGCGAAAACGGGAGGTCTCCTTAAATCTATGACTGAAGAGAAAGGAAGACTGGGAACTCTCGTTTGGGGTTCTTGGAATCTTCTTGAATCTTCAGTTGCACTCCTCACGATATCCGCCTTGGTTCTTCAAGACCAGCGACTTCACCAAGTAGTTTGGCTTCACCCAATAGTTGTTGGTTTTGAAACACCCTCAGATCTTCTTATATATATATATATATATTTGTCAACAACGAAGGAACCAATAACAAATCCACAGACAAAGATGTAGACATTGAGTTTCTAGACAGCTGCCCTGCGGAGAAGCTGTGGATTGCAGGCGCCGTGCGGGCCGTCTTGGAATTCCTGTCAAAGTCTTTGGGATGTCAGCGGCTCAGAAGACGCAGAAGTGTTGCCAAGAACTGCTTCAGGGTTTATATAATCATATTGGCTCATGAAAATCATGAGGGGCCTCACAAGAACTGGAAGAAGAAGAAGAAGCAAATCCAAGAACTAAGTGGGTTGTTGAAATAAAGGGTGTCTACATTGTTGAGCCATGCAATCTTCCAGTGATTGCTTTAGCTGAGGATTCGATCCGCTTAACACTGGAACCGCTCGAACTGGGACTTGTGGTGTTGAACACCTTAAACCTTACGCGGAAGATCTCATTGAGCATACTATTGCCTATCTTTATTGATGCCGGTGGAAGATCATTCAGAAGGAATGCAACCTTGATTATATAATGACTAGCTAGGATATCAAGCCTCTATACACTGTCACGTTTATCCATTGGATAGATCAGCAAGTGGCATATTATTCATGCACAGGAAGGCAGCACAATTGTCCGAGACTGAAGAGAGCATCAACCGTCTAAAGGGTTCAGACATGTTACATGTTGCGTTGAATTCAGCCCAGAGCAAAGCGAGGGTCTCAAAATCAACGGCCTTCGTTCTGCAGAGCAACTCAGAGGGGGGCCATTCGGGGGTTAGAAGGGAAAGGTTCCCACCGTGTTCAAGCCATTGCAATTGGCTTTCTGCAAGGGATCAACACCTTCGAAGCATGGTGTTGGAAGTAGGATGACAGTGGACAGTTTTGCATTTGCACGACTACCAAAAGTACCAGTTTTGATCCGGCCAAAACATGAAGAGCTTGCTGTGAAGCTTTGTCCTAGTGAGACTTCGTGGAAGGTGAGAAAGGACATCAGGCTTGTTTCGAGCATCAGAATTGTCGGGAGAGGGCATTTGTTACATGTGAGCGTTAAGGAAGGTGTGAAACTTTACACACCCTAAACCAGTGTAAAAAGCATTTGCACTGCGACTCCTACCATAGTTGAACAACCAGTCCGGAAACTGAGCAACATGGCTCAGGGTCCATGGAGACGCCGGTGCTGCTGGGCAGAGGGATTATCGCTGAGCAGCATGGCTGCTCGGTTTAAACAGAAGTTGCCATGGCTCACAGAACAGAACCAGAAACCAACAGCTTTTCGCCCGAAAATTCATCTTGCTATACTGGCTATGTGGACAGCAAATGACAGCCTCACTGAGATCAGCTGCGCCAAAGCCAACACCGGTTCACCGGTTCAGGGTCCTTACCGTCGTGGAGACGTGATGTTCTCATTTTGGGTTCCGCTTTCGTCCGTTTGGTTTTCCAGACCGCGGTTTTCCATGATCTCTATCCGGGATGGGTATTGATTTAGTGGCGCCATAGATTTCACCCGAATTAAACATCCATAATGTAATTCCCTCTTCTCTCAACACATCAACCCATTTTCCTATGTTCCCAGAGCGCGAGGTGTCACGATGCCAGCTTTGACATGGGGCAAAGACCTACTGGAAGCTCGTTCTTTCGACCGAATGGCCATGAATGGCCCAGTGATTCGAGTGGCAGTTGTCCATCTTAGATTTGCATTGTTGTTTGGATTCTTCCGGGATCACCATTGTCATTTACCAAACCACACACCACCATTTGACCATTGGGCTTAAAGTTTAAAGATTTTAAAGTGCCATGTCATGTGGCCTTTGCTTATTGTTCAATCATATTGAATGTTTTCACATCACCAACCCGCCATGTTGTGGTAATAACCAAAGTTCCCGTATGTACCATCAGCTCAGTGGAAGGTCCCTCAAGTGTAACAAAGGGGGCAACGGCGTGTCGGACTGCGCGATCCTTTCGCATAGTGGAGCTTTCCTTCGGCGGATGCGGACCAAGCGTTGGACCTGGAGGTACATGAGGCACAAAGGAATCAGGCAGATGCTTGGAACCATTTGGAACCTATGTACCTTGGGTGGACAGGAAACCTGCGGTCGAAAAACCTGCCCCTCCCCAGTTGGAGTGAGTGGCTGGGGCCAAATGAAGCGCATTTGACTTGTCCACTCCAATGGGTGGTTTTACTGAACCGGGTACATCGCCTGCAAGCCTGCCTTGCAGGCTACCCAGGACCCATGTGTCGCCCCAAGGCTGTGCCTTCCAGGGTCCCAAATGTGACTTGTGCAGGTGATGCAAAGACATGATTTGTTTCTCCTTTACCTGGACCCCTAAGGGGTGGTTCATGGACACCCCTTGACCTCTAAGGGCTATTAATGGACAACCTTTCCGTGGTGCTGGTACTGGTACAACCATATTTTTTTTCACATCAGTGGACATGCACCAGATGGACAATTCACTGATGCTGATGCTTAGTCGAGCGAACAAGCGGAGGACGACCAGTCCTCCAGCGAATCTGACATGCGACCAGTCCTGGTTCTCGGAAAAGGTCGGCGTCCATTCAGTGAAGTTGGTTGAAGAATGGCCAGCTTGTTTCGGCAAAGTTTGAGGAAGTGTTCTCGTTTGCTCCGGGATTTGTCCAGACTGTGCAGTGTGTTTTTGTATGTGTGTCTATGTTTTTGTTTCACTGTTCCTTCAATGCTTTTGCACTCGATATGTTTGATCGTGTGAAGTCTTAGGCTGCATCCTCATCCACGGGCTTTATGTTTATTTTGTTGCAGATGTTTTTCTTGTTATTCCCTTTTAAATCAATGTTCCTTTGCCTTACATTGATGTCTTTACTGAGAATATGTCGCAAATTATATATCTACTGATGATGCTCTAGACAACACAATATGTTATAAGTTATATCTATGATTCATGTATGCACTGGTCTACACACCTCTTACTTCCGAAATCGCTTGGTCGCTTGGTCGCAGTGCTGTTCCTTCGCCAACCCGGCACTTCACACTTTCCATGGACCTGGCGGTTCCTCTGGATCCTCAGGAGGTGGTTTGGTCCTCCCGCGGCCTCCTCTTGAACCATGCCGCCCTGAAGCGATTGAGCCTCTTGATGAGTGGCCGCCTGGGGCAGACCATGTCAAAGGGCGTCCTGGAGACTCGGCCGAGAGGCGCCAGTCTAACGACTCGGACGGTGCCCTTTCGGGTCGTGGTGATCACTTGGAGCTCTCAGAGCTCTCAGAGTGTCGGGTACATAGGTAGCAGTTTTGTGGTTTTTGGACTGTAGGCATTCATGTCTATGGCATATGGATGGACATTCGAGGCTCAGAAGCACCTCGGGATGATCCCAGCTAAGATTCAACAGGAAGATGTTTCCAACCAGTCTAATGAGGCAAATGTCATGCACTAGACACGTTACATAATAGCACAGCATCAGTCAGGTCAACCTTGTTCGCTCCTACTGAGGATATTTGCCACATTTTTTCTGCCACAGCTGTCTCTTGGCACAAGAGATGCCACGGGTCCACTTGAGGTTAGACCTTGGAGAAGAAACAAAGCTCAATGGTTGTTGCTGATCCGAATCCAGTCAAGAAATGCGCAACAAAAGACACTTCGTGTGGTCATTGATTTCAACAGCACTGACATTGCTTCGCAGAACGCGCAGAACGGTTGTTTCGCATCCTGGGATTTGTGGTCAGCGCAGCGATTCTCGTTCTTGAACTGGACGCAATCTTTCAGGGGGGATGAGCAAAGGCAACATCAGCAAGCATGGAAGGATTGTGGAAGGGCCATTGAAGCATTTGGGGCTCTATATACGGTTTTGGATGGTTTGTTTTTCTTGTGTTTCCTTCCTCCAGCCGCTCTTTGGAAGGTATGCCTATATATATATATACGTGTGTATGTGTATAGAGAGAGAGATGCACACCAATATATAATTTGGTTTGTATATATGTTGGGCT